AAGTTATTAAAAATTAAACATTGTTTTTTCACTGGAGATTTTAAGTTTTACAACAAAAACATTATTTACAGAACGTTTCAGTAGATTGAAAATTTTATTTAAAACTGCAGATCAAACAATACAAAATAATAAAAAGTTTAATAAATGTTTAAAATATGTAAAATGTTTGTAATTAAACAAAAAAAATACAGAAACACTGTACAACATAACCCATGTATAAAAACAGCTGCTCTATCGTTAGTAATAAATTTATTACACATGTTAATCCTAAACATTTATTTATGTCGTTTGTTTGTTTGTTTCGGGGAGATGTTCTGTGAATTCCGACGCTCTTATCGCCCCTGAATGCATCATCGGCTTTAGCGGTGACAACAAACTGTGGCAGGAAACTGACTGCGCATGTGCAGCACGGACAGCCCGTTGGTGTGTGTTGGCACGCGCGAGTGTTTGAGAGGAAACCGTCGATCTGTTTCCCGTCAGGTTGTCCGCGCGCGCTTTCCCCGCCTCGCGCCTGTGAAATTCTACGAATTCTTCTCCGCGCAATTTGAATATTAATGAGACGAAACTTGAACCTGATTGGCTGTGCGGTTCAAAACATTGAGCGCACGCAGCCCCGCTGATTGGACGAGCGACACGCAGGTGGGCGTGGCTACGCGAGGCGTATAAATTCAGATCAAAACAGCAACGAAGCGCGGACGGTTGCGGGACGTGGACCCGCACGGACGGTAGCTCGTTGAACCCAAGTTCGGTCTGTTCAAGTCTTCAGTTTGTTCTTTGGGTCGTGTTTTGTTTAAAGAGCGGGAAAACGGCAGCTTCGAGCGAATTAAGTGAGAAGGTTTCCGCCATGATGGATGTGGAGTGAAAGAGACATGTTGGATAAAAGATCCGTGGAGCTTCACGTGGAGGAGATCGGAGGGAAACACGGTCAGTCCGCGGAGCTCCACCAGACTTCATGTAAAAAACAGCAGATTTAAGACTTGTCTCACTTTCTGACGTTTCTGCGCGGCAGAATCAAAGATATGACTTTGAAATCTCACACTTTAAATCAACATTATTCTTTCGGCTATAAAAAGTCAATAATATAATAATACAGTCTAATATAAAAAAGCTTTATTTTAAGTATCTGTCTGTAAATGAAGACAGTTTTAATCCATGAACGAGCGGAAGTGGATGAAAGGTTCTGGTCTGTGTCCTCAGAGAAGGAACCGTTCAGCAGTCGGTACCGCTGCGGTCCTCTGCTCGGCAGCGGCGGGTTCGGTTCGGTGTTTTCGGGTCAGAGGTTGTCGGATGGATTACAGGTGAGTCCCGGACCTCCTGCAGCGCTGCAGCTCACCTGGCTTCAGGCTCACGGCTCTCCTTTTTGTCCCTCCAGGTTGCCGTCAAGCAGATCTGCAGTGACAGAGTCCAGCACTGGACCCGACTGGTGAGTCTCAGCTGGTTCGGGTTCTGTTCTGTAGGGCAGAAAACAGGCAGGCAGGTGAGCTGCGCCCCCTGCTGGACTGCAGCAGAACCGCAGCTGGGGTGTGACGTCACGGTCCGGTAAACGGGTTTCCCCCTTGACATCACCTGGGAAACACCCCCCAGTAGAAAAACACCTGCAGTCACAGTTCAGGACACACAAAAAACTCACTCGTTTTCATTTTTTCCTTTTCTGACTAAAAGGGATAAAAGAAAACGTTTGAAGTTTATTTACGTTTATTGTTTATTAGTAAACTATTTTTATTTATTGATCATCCTGCTCCCCTCAGCCCGGCGTGCTCCGACCCGTTCCCATGGAGATCGCTCTGCTTCAGCGTCTGTCAGAGGTCGGAGGTCACAGCAGCGTCATTCGGATGCTGGACTGGTTTGAGGTGGAGGGGCGGGGCTTCCTGCTGGTGATGGAGCGGCCGCCGCAGAGCCAGGACCTGTTTGACTTCATCACAGAGCGAGGAGCGCTCCCTGAACGCCTCGCGCTCAGGTGGGTCCTCGCTCCGCCGCCACCGCGTCGCAGCGTTTGACACGCCCTGACGCTCTGTCTTTGCTCCGCCCCCTCCTGCAGGTTCTTCCGACAGATCGTGGAGGCGCTGCAGTTCGTCCACGCGCACGGCGTCGTGCACAGAGACATTAAAGACGAGAACATTGTGGTGGACACGAGGACTCTGGAGGTGAAGATCATCGACTTTGGGTCGGGAGCGCCGCTCAAAGAGTCGGCTTACGGCGAGTTCGAAGGTCAGCCGATCAGCCTGTGATGGTGACAATGAGGGGGAGTGGTTGTGTAACAGACTCCGCCCCTCTCCGTAGGTACACGAGTCTACAGTCCTCCGGAGTGGGTCCAGACCCGGTCCTACCACGCCGTCCCGCTCAGCGTCTGGTCCCTCGGCGTCCTGCTCTTCGACTTGGTCTGCGGAGACATCCCCTTCGAGCATGACCAGGAGATCATCGAGGCCACGCCCACCTTCACCAGGCGCGTCTCTAAAGGTGAGCAGAGGCCCCGCCCTCACTTGACCACGATTGGTTAGTTTTGGATGTTGACCTCGTGTCCCCGCCCCTCCACAGAATGCCAGGCCTTGATTCGCTGGTGTCTGTCCTACCGGCCGGAGGACCGCCCCTCCCTGGAGGACATCTTGTCTCACCCCTGGATGGAGGGAGGGGAGGAGGAGGAGGAGGAGCCAAGCTCACTGCCCAGTGTGTCGCTGTGAGGATGTGAACTGGATCAGAGCCAAAGCTAAAGTTTTCGTCAGCCTGCTGCCTTATCATTCCTTATTTATTGATTATTTATTAGTTTCTGATCGGGTCCAGCTACAGCAGAGACTCCGCCTCCTCTTGGATCGGACGTTTGCAGTTCATGAGTTCTGGTGATGATGAAGGGATTTGAGTTGACCTTTGACCTGCTGCAGATCAAAGTGGATCAATAAAGAAACTGAACGGCTGCTGGAGTTCGGTTCTGTTGGATCTTAGAAAACACCCGAGACTTTTGGCGTTCCTCGTTCTTTCTCCTGTGCCTGATTCATTGACCCGTCGGGTCTGACCTGTGGACTCAATCGGGTCTCTGACCTGTGGACCCGGTCGG